CATTTTTCGCGTTAAAAATAATAAAACATACTTTCCCCATGTTTCCATATTATTTTAGCATTATGGCCCATTACCTTTTAGGGCCCAAAACTAAAAAAAAAGTTTTCATTACGGTTTTGTTGATGGTTGGTTCGTTTTTTCTATTTGAATTAATAATTGGTTTATGGAAAATTATCTGATTATCTCTTCTTCAAATGACTTGCCTAATATAAAATTTGCTTTATTTCCCTTCTGGAACATAAAATAACAATGCGATCTGGTTGAATATTGTAAAAAAATTTATATATACTTAATAAGAAAATTAACATTTCATTTTTAAGCTTTTCTTTGATAAGGCATAGAGTCATACTTAAATTATCAACACAAAGGAAACCTTTTGATGTTTCCAAAACGGCACTGCTAGATAACATTCAGTTTTCTTTTACGATAAATCTGATGACTTTGATGACAATTCCAAAATCCACTATTTATGTGACGGTATAATGAATATCAATCTATTCAAACTAATAATTGGACAAGGTGAGTACGTGATTATTTAACCACAAAAATACAATTCTGAGGGGAAAACACTATGTATATCAATCGTACAATCTATCTGGATTATATGATTTAGGGCACTTTTGTCTTGATAATAAACAGATAAAACAAACTTGTGGGAAAAAAAAAAAAAACGTACTTGCATTCGCCACAAGAGATCACTGCAACCTTTAACACGAGGACGGTTTACCAAGAAACTCCGACGAGCTTCTTCGACCGCGGCTCGTTCCTCCGGTGTACCGGCGTCTGGATCAAACTCCCATGTTTGACGTCCGACGAAGTTGTTACTGCTGAACAAGTACGGGTCTTCTCCATTCCCTTCTCCTATCTTCAACCTCCACATAACTATGATCCTATGTATACGTAAAATATATTTATAATTTCAAACTAATATAATCGCATGATGATATATAGTGTAGCGTGTATACATGCATACATATATATAGATTAACACTATATACATATATATATATAACACTGTTTTGCATGCATATATATGATAATGTTATATGTCTTTTAATATAATGAAAGAGTCCCCATGTGACGAATAAGAAATAACAAGAGATAGATAGAGAGAGAGCGTACTTGTGCTGGATCGATGTTTGCCTTTACGATTGATAATTATCAATTAGATACTTTGGAATAGTTTCCTGTACGTATGTTTATATAGAGGTCAAAGGACGAACTGAATAAGAACAATTTGGGATCATTAAATCAAACATTTCTTAAGTGATTTTTAATTAGTACTAGTATTTGTTTCTTGTTCTCACGTTTATCTATTTTTGGAGTGAGACCCCAGAACAAAAAATTTAATATTGTAATCTTTTATATGGTTTACAAACAGAATTAAAGACAATGCCTACTTAATTTGAAATTAAAGTTACACTCTTCGACTTCAAGTAGATTATAATATGCAAGTTTAAAATTTTTCTTGTTTTATGGTTTTTTTTTGTGTTAGCGTGTTTTTGATGCTATAAAAGAACATCGTATTTTATACTGAATCAAATTAGATGATTTTTTAGAGATTT